TAAGACGACGTAACCTTTACACCTGATATTTGTTACGAAATTGGCAGGACGTTATCCGCACAGGGGTTATATGGCAGGCCGCCCATCCAATCACCGTTTCGTCGGTGATTTCTCACTCATTTCGTCTTTGCCCCCTCACTATTCACCAACCAACCCATCCTATTAATAATTGGTTATAGGCTCTTTTGTGTTACCCCTACACGTGTTTTCAAATTTCCCCTTTTGTCCCTAACTCGGTTTGGCCTCATTAATTATCTCGCCCGCATATGTAAGTACGTCTAGTTTCAATTTCCACATATGAACTGACATAACTACCCTAGAAGAAGAATCCACATGTGTGGGAACCACCTAACATTGCTTCCCACTTTATTACTCGTCTTAGATCTATGTACTTTTTTTCTTCATTTCTCCGCTTTGAGCACTACCCACAATGTATTACTGTCAGATAATTGTCGGGGTTAATTCAGTAGTTAAGTCTAATTTTTAATAATTTAGATAATAATTTTATATTGATTAAATTTTAAGATCAAATTAAAAGCTCAAATGACATGACAACATATTATTTGAAGTCTTTATTGGGGCCCAAATGACATGATATCAAATAAAGAAATTCAACTCAGTTATTTTTGGGCTCTTGATTTGGTCTTAAAATTTGATCAATATAGTATTACTCTAATTTAGAAGTCTTAGGTTTGATCCCTTCACATATTTCCTAAAAACTAGTCACCCTCGTCCCTAAAGGGATATGCTTTAACCTAATTCAAACCAAATTGATCAGCCACTGAATTCGAGAGAATAGTAGATACAAGCCTAAATATTTTGTAGCAAAAAAAAAATGAATAATGTTACTTGGACTAAAAATTTAATCTAATTTATTGACATAATAATGTGATTTCATATGAATCATTAGATCAATTCCAAATTTTAATCTTTAATGGGCCCTACAGTCAAATGTTACAGTAAATTAGGTCAACAAATTAGATTAATAAATTAGGTCCCAATAGTATTATTCAAAAAATATATATTAGTAAAAGACTTAGTTATAAGTAATAAATTTTACATGAATTCCCGATAAGTAATCCACCAAAAAAAAATAGAAAAAAAAATGTATTATAGGCATTTTTCACTCCGTTTTTCTTTCCTAATTCTCCATGCAATTAAGCAATTATATAAGAAGCCATGCATAAACTAGAAGGGCGGTAGCCAGTAGGTGACACACACATACATTGAGGCCAACGGATATGCGCATGTATTAGGTTGAAACTAATGTAAATTATAGCTAGTGGTTCTTACGCCACTCAATTAAAATTTCTTGAATATTATTTTTGAGTTCGTTTGGTTATCATATTGCAAAAGAATGGATTAGATAATACATGTTAATCCCATAAAAGTGGATAAAATATAAAATTAAACATGGGACAAAAATAAGTCATTGAATTAAGAGTAGAATAATAGAGTATTAATTATACATTGACTAAAAAATCATTAATCTAATCCATGTCTAGTTATTTATAATTTTATTTATTTGGTGGGTAAAATAGTAAATTTATAACATAATACGCTTCAATTGTATTATAATATCACATCTCTAAGTGATATTATAATCGGCTCAATAATACCGATAGGACGTATGATTCGTATACGTATTTGAAATATAAGTCTATATAATAATACAAAATATTTTTTGCAATCAAATACAATATAAAGTTAAATTAGAGAGTTCTAATATGTTATGATTCTATAATCCATATTTAAATACTATAACCAAGCGACCAGTAACTATTTAGGATCGACTATACGAATCTTATTTGGTCATTATATTTTGCAAAAAATCATATTTTATCAAACCGTAAGTATAGATTTCATTGCTAATTTGATTCTTTTTAAACACTCTATTTCCTAAATTGATTTTTATAGTATATAATATAGATTTCAACATCAAATGATAGCTAACCCCAATGGAGACAGAGAGGAGTAAATCCAAATGTCACGAGTTTTAATTTGGCAACATCCTTTATCTTGAGTCACGAAGAATTTATTCCTTATAAATTTTTTAGTCATGATGAGAATGACCTATTTTTGATTAAATCAAGAAAAAAAATAGTTAAAATATATGTAAATTGACCCGAATATTCTTGACTCCAATAAAAAAAAATTCGAATGCATTTCTGCCACTCCAATTAAAATGGAGACATTACCTATTAAAGGGAGTGTAAGGCCAGAAACAGAATTGCATGTCTCTGGTTTGCCAGAAATGTAATAGTTTTTATTTTCCTCCAAATCCTAGGTATACGTATTATTATAAATTAATTTTTACCCTACTGTTGAAGAACATGCATAACACGTGCATGTGCACACGCATTATTGCTCATAAAAGGTTAGGTGGGCATGACATATACTCCCGCCACAACGACAAGAACGCAAAGTAAACGAAGCAGCCGAGTTACTTTAAAGTGGTTGAGGTTAGACTTTGATGTCAAAATGAGTAATGTTAGGTAATTATAATTATTAAATAGGTAATGAGTCTCAATAAATATTTGGACTCACAGTAAAATCAATAATTATAATTATCAAATTTAATTTTTAAATTTAATTTTTAAGTTTATGTAGCATTGCTCATGCCGAAATAGTTGAGATTTGGTATCGTATCTGATGGCCCAAGCCCAAAGGCCCAACTTGTTCTATAAGCTCGGTCCGAGTTAAAGACTCAATTTCAAGAGATCCACCAAATCCAGTCCAATGTGGTCATCCTTGTCAAGTTCATCAAGTTTAAAGAGCTACATCAGCAGGGTCATCTAAAAATCTCCTCTACCACCTTGAAATAAGGGTCATCCAAAAACCTTTTTTACTATCTTGGAGTAAGAGTTATCCAAGAGACTCCTCTACCACCTTAGAGTAAAGGTCATCTAAAAGCCTCCTTTACCACTTTGGAGTAAGGGTCATCTAAGAACCTCCTCTACCACCCTGGAGTAAGAATCATCCAAGAGCCTCATCTATCTCTTTGGATTAAGGGTCCAAGCCGGTCAAGCCCATCAAGGAGTTACGCCATTAAGGGAGCATTCAAGAGTCTTACACTCGCTGCTTGAAGAGAGTCAACTTTCCCTTATTCTTTGACCAAGTTATTGGGAGAGCACTATAACTTCCATACCCGTTGAGGAGATGAGAGGTCGTCAAACTATTTAATTTCTATTAAAGTCATTCTAATCTGTTATGACTATTAAACGGTCTCAACCCGTTATGATCATCAAACTAATTATTCAATTATTACATTAAGCCACTATAAGTTGTAAGTTTCACCAATACTTGGAGGGCATCTCACTCATTTGAGCATAATTTTCTCCTTTCCCTCTCAAAGTTTATAACTCTTGGCTCTCCATACACACCGAAATTAATAAAATATCGGCAACCCTTGTCATTCAAAGTGGATGTAGATCATATTAACCGAACCATTATAAACCTTGTCTTCTCTCTCTTTCTATTTTACTGCATTTTATATTACTTAATTGACAGGTGGTGTACAAACTAATTTTGTACATCATCAGTATCCATTGGTCTTAAATTTCTTTTCATTTAAAACCTGCGAAATGTTTCGATATTTGATGAATAAGAAACGAAATATAAAGGGATTTTTTATGATGTTGCATTTTCAGTAAAATTTGAAACGTTTTTTTTTTCTTTCTTTGAAATGGTCGATACACAGTTTCTTTTCTTTAGTTTCATGAAATTTAAAAAAAAAAAATAAACTTACTAATATAACTATAATTTATTTTATTTTCATTTATTTCTATGAAAATACAACGTTTCTTTGCATTTTTAAAATATTTTTAATTTTTGACTAATCAAAACATTTTTCCGAAACAAAATTTTTAACCATGATTGTATCTTTTCATTCATCCAATTATATGAAATAAAATATATAAATTTTGTGTTGTTTTATTATTTTACTTTATTCTATTAGTGCTACAAGTAAATCAATCAACGGCCCAAGATCATTTCTTGTTATATTATTTTTTGGGTACCATAATTTTATCCAAGTGGTTGAATAAGGTATAGATATAAACCTGTGTGTGTTCAGTTGGTTTCTCTTTTGTGGCATAAAACACATAATTTGATTAATGTGGGTTGTTTAATTCGAGATTTGCGTTTGAATCATAACTTCTACTCAAGCTGATAACATCTAATCATAGTTGTTAATATCTTATAATGCGCATAACATATTTTATGATACGCGTCACAATACAATATCCTAACGATATACATCTTCGAGTTGTATATTTTTTACGATGCGTTTTAATACAATAAAAAAAATAATGTGTGTTAAATCACTTAATGTTTAATTTTTTACTCTACACAATGAAACAATGTTGTTTTAGAAAACATTTTTTTTAAACCCTAAAATGAAAACGATGGCGTTTCCTGTATGTTATTTTTTTGAAACAAATGAAACTCTTAGATCATCTTTTTCTCTTACAACCTGCTTTTGTTTCTCTTACACCTTATTCTTCTTCTCTTTCAAAGAGACAAAACCCTTCGATGGCTGGCCTATAGTGAGACAATCTTACTGTTAAGTCAGAGGCTCACCCGCTTCCCTTAAAAATTAAAAAGCCGATCGCAACTCGTTTCGATCCAAGTAACTTAATGAGACAAGAAGTTATTTTAATTCAACTAAATGTTATTCAACCCGTTTAGATGTACATTAAATTTAAATTTAACTTATTAATTTAATTAAATAATCACTTAATTGACAGACAGACCTACTTAGAAGCCGTTGACCGACGGACCACAATATTTATCAGAAAAAACCAAAAAACAAAATAATTCTACTCTAATATAAAATTGAACATATAATGAAACACTTGAGGGTATTCTAGTAAATATGTAATGCAAAAAATACCAAAAACCCTTTTGGTATCGGGAAAGATTCACAAGGGTATCACTGACTTTTAAAACCTAAGCTGTATGAACATTAAAGCCTATGTTCCCTTCTGTAAATCAACCACCTCTCTCTCTCTCTCTTCTCTCTCTCTCTCTCTCTATAGACGGTAGACCCATTATCATACCCCCACCACCACTCTCCTCTCCAAACAGAGACGCAATGAGAGGTGAAATAAAAAGAAAAGGTGGTAGATGCATGAAGTAACAACAACAACAATCTCTCTTTCTCCTTCCCTATCTATCCTGTCCCTTTTTCTCTCTCTAACCTCGCCACCTTCCCTTTGTAATCCATTCACTACTCTCAAAGATTTCTCTCTCCAGCCCCGCCTCCCCCCAAAGTTGATTGTCCTCGGTTTCCACGCACAACTAACACACACCTCTTCTTTGCCTCTTAGGTATGAAAATAACGACTCTTTACTCATAATGGCTGGTATTGCTTCTATATTTTAGCTTCTACATGAGTATACTCTGTTTACTGCCAGGAATATGGCCATGGGGCTCTGGCTTTTGATGGGTTTGAAAGAATTCAAGTGCTGAAATTCATGTTAGCTCTGTGGATTTTTCTCGATTTCAATGGTCTTTCTTGGGTAGCTGTTGATTGGACTTTGTTTTGACTTTTCGTTTTGGGTTCGTTTCTTTCTTTATCCTGCTCCCATAAAAGGTGGTAGGTTGATGGGTTGACTTATTCTCCAAGGAGAGAGAATAGAAATTCTGCAAAAGGAAGGTTTTGGGCGTTTGTGTTGATCTCTTTGAATTCCAGTTCCGTATGTTAGGATGGTTTTTTTGTGGTTAGTCTTTACAAATTTTGTTGATGGCCTATCAAGTCGTTACCTTTTTGTTCAGCTATTCCGGGTACATATAAAGTGGGGGGTTCAGGGTTTTGTCACCTTGTTAGTATACGCTATATAGCCTTCTTGTATTTTGGTTTTTTTCAAGATAATTTGTTTGAGAATTTACGATAAGGGTGGTGATTGGAAACCATTGCATGAAATATGTTGAGTGGTTGTGCTGGGTTGGTCTTTTTATCCATGTTGGACTCTACTTAACATTACCATCAATGGCTTTAATAATCTGCCTATTGGTTTCAAAAAAATCTCTCTAGGGGAATTATTGCTTGTTTTTTAGATGGTTATTATGAACGTTGGTATTGGAATTATAAGCTACTTGGGGCATAAAAACTAGCCAATCATTTTGAATTGTAGTTTTCTATCAGTCATAGTTGGTATTGGGTGCTACCATTTGATGTTGAAAAACACTACTGACCATAGGCACTTAGTTTACTCAATTAGATCAACGCAATATTTTCCTAAAAAGGTACTTTTAGCCTTTTAGTGCTCTAATTTTGGCAGTTCTTACAATGGCACTCACTTGACCTTTTGTATTGATTCTCTGTGTAACTATAATGTGCTTCACGAAACTTGGCATGGACTACTGCTTTATGTAGTTAGTGAACTGTTGTGAACGAGGTTGTCCAATTCCTTGGCCTTTTTTTTTTAGATAAATAATGTTCCGTGTCCCCTCTCTATTTCCTCTGTGTGTGACTTGACACTGCTTTGTCTTACTAATACCCTGCTACTGGTTCTTCAAATTCACTGAAATGATGTTGCTGCACTAGCAATAAGGGAATTCTTCCTTTAATGGTTTCCTTGGGGAATACAAAAGTGTTTGTAGTTTATTATTTGTTATTGTTTTTACTATTTTCTTTATGAATTCTCTATGCTTCGCTGAAACTTGCTTTCACATGTCTCTCTGTAATATTTTGTCTTCCTTTTTTTTTTCCCTGAAAATTTGGGCGACTAACTGAGTAAATGTTGAATTTTATTAGGATTATTGAAACTGGCTATGGTGAGCATCCGTAGGCGCAGGCTTTTAGGCCTTTGGTCTGGTATGCCCACAGTAACTGATAATTTAGTTATGGGGTATTTCATTTATAAAGGTCCGCATTAGATTGGCCATTATGTTGAAGACTCCTTGGAGAATTTTGCATAGTACACACTATGATATGCATCCTCTGGCCTTTGTAGGTCGAAGTTCTTTCTTGGCTCCTCTTCCAAGGTTTTTCGACAATGGACACACCCCTGAAAATCGTACCCAAAACACAAAATCAGTTAGTGTGCATCCCATGCCTTCAGTGGATGTTGACCAACCGAAGGAGGTAAGCATGGATTTCTTTAAAGTTCTGTTTATCCTCCCAATTAAGGTCCCCTTTTTCTGTACAATTAGTCATGGATAGTTTACGTACATCAGATGCAGTACACAAACTTTGTGGTTTGAGCTAAATTTGTGTTTGGCTTGTCAGTAAATGCTGAGTTTATTAATCAATTATTGATCATTTTTAAGATCTTGCCAATATTGGTCCTCCATAACTACTGATGTATAGGATTTAGGTTGCTTTATTGAGGAATTATAGAGGTTGAAACTTCTCATGTTCAGAGCAATAAGCTAATTGAGGTGGACCTTTTGATCTTTTCAGATGTCTAAGAGACAAACTACAGGGAAGGTGTTTATTACCAACCTCAAGGGGAGAAAAACTGGGGTTTCAGATTTGTTGCACGACTAGTTTCACCTTTGACAGTTTTGAATTTAATCCTAGAAAGAAATAACAGCAGTCGAAGGGTGAGGGATAATCTTTCTGTTAGTTCTAATTGACAAAACAATGTAAACACTAAGGTCCCGAACAAGCTTTCGAGCTGTTGTATAAACTCAGGCACATCCATTAGTTTTTCTGTTTTGGGGGATGAAAAGGTATCTTATAAATTTCATATGCATTTCATTCTGTACTCAAGCCCATAATTGTGCCTGATATATGCATAATATATTTATATCTGCAATTTTCCAGGAAAAAATCTCAAATGTTGGTCCTGGATCATCAAACATCTCTGGTTCTGACTCATCAAAAGATCAACATACTCAACAATTCCCAGGTGTGTCCTTTTCTGTTCACATCTACACGTGATTATGGGCCTACTGGAGTTGTATACTCTGAAATAGCCTCACATAGTTACTTAAAAGCTCAGATGTCGGCCTGTTCTTCAACTTGTATGGTTAACAGAATCAAAGCCACCAATAAAACTTGCAACATCTGTATACTTCTTGTGTAAATGGCAAATAGCACAAAAATGCTATTGGCAATCGACGATGTCATTCGTGAAAAGGATTTTGTAGCTGATGATAATCAGTCAAGATTTGCGAGTCATGATGACTTGCTCAATTGTCACATGAATCTCCTGATTTTAGCTAATGGCAAAAATTTGTTTGATTCCTTTCTAGCATTCCCATATGTTTACCTGGCCTCGATAGATTCTGTAAACAGAACAGTCTCGTCTTTGCTTGAATCTCTTAATGTATGATGTCATTTTTGTATTGTAATAGAATGCCCATATTTTCTATGGACTACCTTTGGTCTTTAAAGTGATTCATGCCTTGTCATAATGCCAGAAGTCAAACGAAGAAAGCGGCACAGAAGGAAGCATTTTGAAAACCAAGAACAATGTGTTATGAGAGGTGTCTATTTCAAGAACATGAAGTGGCAAGCAGCAATAAAGGTTGATAAAAAACAAATCCACTTGGGCACTGTTGGCTCTCAAGAAGAAGCTGCTCGATTGTATGATAGGTATTACCATTGAAATTTTCTTTGTTTATCCTTGTGATTATTGGACAACCAATTTTCTTCTTATTGATCCAAGATGTGAATATCATTATTGTATGGTTCGCAACACCAGAGGCGCCCTTCATATTGTTAGATAATATACTGGAGAGATTGTTAGAGTGGGCCAAAATGGAGAAAAACAATAATCCTTTGGAAAACTTAACTGGGACTGGTAAGTAAATAATTTTGCTATTGGATTGCATGATTCATGATGCACAATTTCTACTGATATATACAATTGGAGAAGAAATATATAATACTGGAAAAGTCACCAAATTTAACTGTTCAGAAACTAGGGTACTTTTGGAGATAAGACTGATTTCAATCTTCTGACTTCCTAGGCTAAATGACTTAGTTATTAGCTTGAAATTAGAAGAAAAAGCTGAAAAAAGTGGAGGCAGATCAACAAGCATATTAGCTTGGAAATTAATAAAGCATACATGGAGTGTACTTATGCGTTTGGTGGGCCAGCTCATCTACTTTGTACTTCCCTCATAGCAAATGTGTGATGACATCACAAGGTTGGAGAATGGATGGTCTTTGTAAGACGTCTACTGTTTTGCTCATTTGTATGTGCAAGTTTTGGCTGTTTGCCGGGACATAAAGACTTTTTTGTCTGAAGAGCATTGGATCAGCTTGATACTTTTGTGAATTAGACCAGTTAGAGTGATTTTCAAAACTGGAAATGAGTTTGGTATGTCCATTTCCATGAGTTGTTTCTCAAGGAGAAACTGGACAATGTATCTTACTGCAACAATGATTGAGAGAGGTGTTTCACTGCTTAATGAGACTGTAGATTCATGCTTCTTTGTGTAACCCAGAAATGTTCTTAGCATGAGACTGCAAATAATGGGATATAATCTTTGATCAAGAAGAATCAACTTAAAGGGGTACAAGAAACTGCATACAAGTATACTACTGACTTGTCAAAAGTAGCACACTCGTTCAGTAAAATTACTTCACGAGGTAGCATGAACTTGTTAAGGCAAGGTCTCTTATTAAGGCAAGGTCTCTTTGTCCATAAGATGTCTGGATGTGGAATGGGATTCGGCAAAAGTTTCCGTTTCTTTTAATTTTTCTTTCCTATTGTTTTTTTTTCAATGTCTCTCTATTCTTGCTTATCAGAGAACAGTTCTATTATTTCTCAGCAACAATCCTGCCCAGAAGTAGTTGTGGTACTGGGCCCAGCATTAGGGGCTGGATTGGAGGAATCAGAAGTGGAAAAATAGAAGGCGGCATCCATTCATTATATAGGCAGCATCTGAGAAGTTGTCTTTGCCCTTGAAACAGACAGGTGAAATCAGGAAAATTGACTGTTTAAGCCGGATAAGAAGATGGATACCTCTGGCTGAGTGGGTGAGCATGCAAGAAATATGCATTTTATGGTTGTTGATCGAAGCTTATTGCCATCTGAATGAGGAACATGGATTTCAAGCACGTTTAAAAACTCCTCAGGTTGTGGAAACTGCCACCAAATTTGGAAAGGCTGTAAGCTATAAGTGGTGGAATGTTCAGAACATTCATAGCACCAAGAGGGCTGACAAAATTTCCACAATTTTCGGCTTTTTATAGGGGAAAATATGTCATGTATGGCACTTACTCAATTCAATGGGGGCATCACTAAGGTTATCTAAGCAAACATTAGAGTTTTGAATCAAGATAAAAGAGCGGATATGAGAGGTTTTTGCAATACCAAGACACTTGGATGATTAGTATGTTCACTCCATCTCTTGGGGATGTAGGCAAACTGAGGAACTAGGAAATTCTTGCTCTCCTCGTTCCCTTGATTTAGCTTGCTCACTTTTGTCCCTTTTTCTTGTTGGATCATATTGTTTCAACCATCACGTGATAAAATGCAATGTTCCCCATTGATGAAGCATGAGTGGCATTGCATTATGCAGGCAGCAGGATAGAAGGTTATTATCACATCTTTATGTTTGTAGGGCTGCATTTATGTGTGGGAGGGAACCCAACTTTGAACTCTCGGAGGGGGAGAAGCAGGAACTTAGGAAATTCAAGTGGGATGAATTCTTAGCAGTTACTCGATCTGCAATTACAAACAAAAGTAAGCTTACCTTTTTAATCTATTTTAAGCTTGAAATCTTCTGTCCTTTTAATGGTTGCCATATGTGAAACTTCCAGAACACCAGAGAAGAACTGGGCCACGTTCACGTAGAAAGTTTGAGCCTTCGACACATAACAGTGCCTGGGAGGGCGAGCAAGGAGGCAACGGCTTCTCAGCATCAGAAGACGTAGAGCCAGACACATCAGTCTCTTGAAAATTTTCACTCAGGAGCAAGGCTGAACAAAGCTTGTTCTAGCCACTCTTAATGATTTTTATCTCATTTTTCTGGTGTATAAAGTAGCCCCTATTAGGGCAGATATAGGTGGAACTTGTCTATTAGTGAGCAGATTTCTGTCTTTTTTATTCAATACATTCAGAGTTTAGAAAAATGTTAAGCTCAGGAGGACACTGCTATATTTTCTCAGTAAATCTGTTATAGCATTTTCAGCTCAAATTCGACGGTCGGAACTTTTTTGGGTTGCAGCTCAGCTGTACTGATGCTGGTTGACATGTAGGCAGCTTCTCAGCTTTGCTACTCTGCTTCAAATTGAAAATCTTATCAATCTTGTCCTACTTTCTACTACCTTCACAAAGTAGGAAACTGGAAATCCAATACAGGTCTCAAAACTTCCTAGTTATTGAATAGAATCAGTGATTCTTTCTTTCTTTTGCCTTTTATTAGTACCTCCTTTTCTCCCAGAGTGATCATGACCAACATCCAACATGAGATTCTTTGAAGCCCCGTTCAGTTAAATAATAAAAAATAAAAAATAAAAAAACAAGATACTAAAGAACTGAAGTTGTGGTTTATGTTGTAATCAGATTAAAAGAGATTGCTAGCTTAGAAAGCAATAATCAAGACAAACCGGAACTTATTAAGATATTCTAGTTGTGAATTTTAATGAATTATAGTTGATAAATTAAAAATAATTTTATTTAATATTAAAATTCATAATTTATTTGATGATTGCATTGAATTAGTCAATATAGTATTGTTCTTGTATTTAGTCATTTAGAGGGAAAAAATCTAGTATATTTAGCATGGGTGACGTGTCAAATCGACAAAGTCCCATATGGACTGAGCAGGCCAGTTAGACTAAAACGGTTCTTATTGGTATAGTCCATAATAGTGCATGGACTGTCTAGTTCATAGTCGATCATGAAAGCCAACGGTTATGGTTCAACATATTATATCAAAAATTATAATTTTTTAAGGTTAATTACAATTTTTTAAAGTATAAGTTATAATTTGTGAAAGTTGTACTTGATCCTATCATTGCAATTGATCGCGGGAGTTATAATTTTTAAAAATTAAATTATAACTTACAAAAAAAAAAAAAGTTACAACGAATTGGGAAAAATTTATAATTGATTGAAAGAATGCGTCAGGGAATATGTTCAGCTTCTTCGGGTACTCCTTGGAATGGTTCATTGTTTTTCCATCTGTCGTGCTTTCTAAAGTTAATCCGTGTATGTTGCCAAAAACAAACCCAAAGGTAAGGTGCAACTCGGGTGGATTGGACGGATTAAATAGTCAATTCTAGTCTAATTTTAAGTATATAATCTTGGAACTTAGGGAGACCGGTATCTCCTAAAAAATTTAATAGAATAAAAGTACGTTTTTTAAAATAATTGGGATAGAAGTACATATGCTAATAAAAAATCATAAAAGTGATTAGAATGTGAGATTTTCAAGATTCCTTTTGATATTTGTGTATTATTTAAATTTTAAAATTTTATATATATATATATACACACACACGCGCGCACGAGTAATGTTGTGACATGAAACAATGACACATTCAATAAAAAAATAGTAACATTAAACAATGTCACGCTCAACAAACAAAGAGTAACATCAAACAGTAACACATTCAACAAAAAATAATAACATCAAACAGTAACACAAATACTTTTGTTAAGTGTGTCACTATTTGATGTTATTTTTTTTTTGTTGAACGTGTCACTGTTTGATGTTATTATTTTTTTGTTGAGTGTATCATTGTTTCATGTCACTGTATTACGTATGTGTGTATGTGTGTATAAATATATACATATATATATATATATATCAAAATTCAAATAATACACAAATATCAAAAGGAATCTTAAAAGTCTCACATTTTAATCTTGAAAGTTTCACATTCAAGTAGGTATGCACTATTTATGATAAGGGTAATTATGAAATACATTTTAGAAAAAATTTGAAAACATTTTAAAATGTGTATTTATTGACAACTATTTGATAAAAAAAAGGATTTAAAGGAAGATAAGTTTGAAGATGGTACTTAAAGCCAAATAAGTTTTACAAAAGGTATTCACATCCCATTATCTCTATAATCTTTAACTCTAACCCTACCTCGGGTTGAGAAACTCAATACGAGCACTACTCCAATTTAATTCGGGTGGGCTCGGGTTGAATTCGGATTAATGATTTTGGGTTGATTTCGGATTACTTTACAAGTTTAATTCAAGTTAAGTTCGGGTAGAGCCCAAAATAAGTTTGTTGTTCTAAACCTAATACATATATTACATAATATTCACAAAAATTAACAACAAATAACTTCAATCAAGTTTTTAACAGTGCTAATGTTAGAACAAAAATAAAAATGAACAAGAGAGATAAATAATGATAGAAAAAATATGAAAAATAAGTATTAATGCTTTATATATATATAAATAATTTTTTTTAATTTGTCGGGTTCGGGTTGAATTCTTGAACCTGAGGTCTTAACCAGAGCTCAACTCAAATTGAATTCGAGTTGAAATTTTTTGACCCAACCTAACCCAAATATTAAAAACTCTTTTCCAAGTCCTAATTTTTTCAGGTTAAACTCGGGTTAAAATCGGATTGCCCAACCCGAGTTGCACCCCTATCCAAAGGAGGGCTTAAGTGATTAACAAAGTGTAAACTCGACTTCTTGAATTTGAATCTTAATAATTATTTGAAATTAAGTCTTCAGTAATTTATCTTCATAAATACCTAAGTCTTGATATAGATGATTTGCCTTTGATCGGAATAGAGAGGAAATTAATTGAAATGCATATAAATTAACTCAAAAACTCTTAACCGTTGAAAAAACACAATGTTGCCAAAAGCATGCCACAAGGGTGTTCAACTTCATGCGGACAAAACTGCTGCATATTGGATTTGGAATTGGAATTGCGTGATGCTAAATTTAGGATGGCCCAGGACTGAGCTAAATACTCTTAATATAACAATTTGTATATACAAAAATTCCTTGTCCAAAATAAAACACCAATCAAAACCGTGTCGGAGTCAATTACATGCAACTGAAACAGGGTTCAGGTCCTACCACATTTCACAACTACTGTTTCAAGGTTGACAATCCTTGAGTTTTTCACTTCCCAAATGAATCGCATGCTAGATGATTGACTGGTGTTACAAGATCTCACGAAAGCAGAGAGACAAGAGAAACAAACTCGTGCTTTATCCGGCCCTTGGACCGAGTATTGATCACAAAGTGTTCCGGGTACTTTCGTAACAACATAAGCAATCCATACCATGGTTTTTCCTTTGCTTCAGGACAAGAATGCTCCTCAGATGTGAGATATCTCCTTACAGGACCGTGATGCCAGATATTGCTAAACTGTTCTAACAACTGCAGCAAAAAGAATCATAAAATGTATTCTTTTAGCTAGGAATCCCAAAATTCAAAGAATTTTAGGTACAAGAATAACAAGAGTACGAAGCAGAGAAAGAACAGTTGCAAAAGGTCCTGAAAATGAACATTGCATGATCACTTATAAATAATGCCTGAAACCAAAAGAATAATATTATGTGTGGGGGTAGTTGATATATAATGGCACATCACTATGAAGTATGAAAGTTAAAGTTTCCAACATATGGAAATTTTAGAGTGCTTTAGGTCCAGTTAAAATTCAATAACAAAAAACCAGGCTAGTTCAATAGAGAGGGGAAAAAATAGAAGGTCGAGGAAGGGCATGGGCAGGGGAGGGGGAGTTGGGTTTTGGTAGAGAGGGGGGAAGATTGAAGAATAACCTCAGAACTCTAATTCATAGTTGCATAAAAAGATGCTTCCTGAAGAGACCCAGAGCCTGCCAGGCTGTCATATCTCTGAAAAAACAGAAACACGTCTATGCCATCTAATTTTACCATAGAGAGCGGTGCAAGGATAACAGGCATTAGAAACTGGATTTAGGAGGGAATGAATCACTGGCATGCAAATAGCCTTAAACATAATGCAAATCTATCCCAAACATAATGTTAGACGTAACATAAAAGGGAGCTAAGTCATTATTGATCAAACTAACTCAAAAAAGTCTTATAACTGAATCATACATCTGAGGCATCTGTAGAGTTAGTTGCACAAAATGAACTCATAATAGAGATGTACATGACCTTCTATTCACAGAAGATGTAATGGTTATGCCAAAGTGTAAACATTTGGTGCACTCCAGGGATGTGGTAATACTACCAGCCACCATACCTTACAGGTTATCCCCATCATAATATGATTTCCTAAAGTCCTATAAATGCATAATTGATGATCAGTTAACAAATCCACCTTAAGGTGAATATACCTTAATCAGTAAAAGTATCAAGGGACCACAATAAACAATTAAATTTACCTCCGTATGAAGCTTCTCCATCGCCATCCATTGTCCAGGACTGCACAAATCAGAGAGCACAGTAGCTACCGATGACACCACATCTTTCTCTTCCAACTGCAGGAGCTGATGATTGTCGGTTTCTTTGTCAATCCTTGATTTTCGCTTTACCTTTTTACCTGCCAGAACCAGAAAAAATATCACGTCACGTCATAAAGTAGATTATCAGGCTTACAAGATCTACTAACATGATGGCAGATATAATGGAAACTAGAGAAAAAAATGACAACTGCATTCTGCTCAAACTCCATCCCTGGCCCTTATGAATTTCTATCTGTGGCATTGATCAGACTTGATCACAATCTTACATACATCAAAAGTGGGATTCTATGATCTCTATGGAGAAAGTTACCACTAGTAGGCAATGTGCCCAAACAATACGGAGTGAAAACTTATTTAAGACATCCAACTGCATAGAAACCTGCATACAAGAGGTATTCAAGAGTTATTGCTTCATCTGAAGATTTGTAAAGGGACACAATCTCCGTCATTGAATATTAATGGGGCCCGATAGTAAAAATCTGTGCCACATCATTTGGGATGGAGATTTAGTAAGCATAGCATTACCCTTCTACAAATGCTAGACCAACTCTATAAAACTGATTATATCTAGTCAAAAATAGAAACCTTTAATAACTGCTCGGTTTTTGTTATGGAGGAGTAAAATGCACTGTGGTCAAACAAGCTAAAGTTTACCACCAGTTGGCCCGGACAACTTGGCCCTCAAATTCACAATTAAAATTGTCAGACCCCATCCACACAAAGTTGAGTTACACCCTTGACTTAGTTACAAAAGCTTGCAAAGTTTTGAACCCCTATGACATGTATCTAGATCACTAAGTAACCAAGGCCAAATCCTAGGGAACTCTACCTCACAGTACAATGAAATATCCAAACCACGAGCATCTCTATGGAATCTCAGAAGTGAATCGTACATATCAAATATAACAATTCATTTGCACTAAAACTTCATAGATCACCATGATTTTAATCTACCACAATGAGAAGAATCAACAAAACTAGGAGAATTGAATAATGAGAATAGACCAACATAACAATTCAAGCAAAAAAAAAAAATCATTAATTCAGTCTGAAGTCGCAGAAATTCATGTTCTAAAGTGAACTAATGGAAATCAACCCTAAACAAAAAGTCCATCAACATTCGTTATCTATATCAACAATTCAACAATACATCAAGACGAGAAATTAAGAGAACTGATAAAATCACTTACCCAATTACGCAGATAACGTTCCTTTTCCACCCGAACCCCCCGAAGCATACCCATAAGCCTTCTTAATCTTCTTAATACCACTAGCCATACCACCATTCTCCTCCTCCTCATCATACGCATTCTCACCATACTCCTCAATCCTCGCCCTCCCACCGTTCTTTCCCACTGAACCCCCAAATCCCACCCCCAACTGTTGATCCTGCTGCGCATAATTCACATTCACGTGGTTTCTCGGCCCAGTAGGCCCACCAAGAATACTCCTCACCGGCAATAAGAAATAGAACTCCTTATCCCCAATTTGGAGTGAACCTTGGGAATCGAGCTTGACGGGTGGATTTCCGGGGAGGTGGAGAACGCCTTCGACGAAGCAACCGTTTTTGCCGAGGACTTCGAGCGCGAAACGGCGGCGTTGGAAGTCGTAGAAGATGCGGACGTGTTGGCGAGAGATATTCATGCCTCTGCCTAGGGAGGAGAGGTCGACGTCGACGGTGGATTGCTTGGAGTTGCGGCCGAGGATTATGGAGTAGGTTTGCATAAAGTACTCGAAGGCCTCGCCTTGGAGCTTCGCGAAGCCCGCTTCAACGTCGCTGCTGGTGCTTCCCATCGAGGTTTTTCTGTGAATTGATCGATGGTAGAGAGAGAGTTTTAGATTGTGGAGAGAAGAAGAGGAAGAAGATTCGAATGATAAAAAAATAAAAAAATAAAAAAATATGCTTAGATATTTTTACAATTAATTAACTTTTTTTTTTTTTTTTTTTGTAAAAGATACAAAAAAAATCAAGATTGTGATTAATAACATAAATTCTGATTTTATTCTTATTTTTTTAATATTTATTTACTAGTTATTGTCGGTGCCCGAAGATACAGAATAATAAAAAATAATAAACAATAAACATGCAAATATTCATATTAAAAATTAAATCACAAACATAAAAAAAAATATAAAATAATTTAAATATCAATTTATAGTGGTGGTGGTAGGAGGCAGCAATGATTGTGGTGGGTGACAATAATTGTGGTGGCAGTGAGGGTGGTGACAATGGTGGTGGTGGTGGTGGTGGTGGTGGCAGTGACAATAGTGGTGACGATGGCGGTGGCGGCAGTAGTTGTGGGGTGTAACGGTTTTAAACACTTTTTTTTTAAAAGTATTTATGACAAATAATTTTTAAAAATATTTTTAAAAAGTCACTCTAAATACGTTCTTAAAGTCTATTATTTCTATTAAATTTATAGTGTTAATATTAATCGTTAGATTAATTTAAAAAATAATTGTAAATAATAAAAATTATTTTATTTATTTTTTAAATTTAAATTGTAAGTTGCTAGATTAATTAATTATGAGCCATTTTGGCCCGCCAAAATGGGCTTCGCAGGCGGGTCTATAGGCTCCACAGGCGGGTCAAAATTGCCTTAACAAAATCAATATAAACTGGTTATTAAGAATACCAATCTGATGTGAAGAGACTGCAACCATCGAACAAAAGTTTCGCTCGGTAAAACCTTAAAGTTCATCGTGATTTGATTTTCTCTGCATTTAACATTATTATATGGAATGGTTTTGTGTCGTATGTCATAGGAAATCATAGGAAAACCCAAATTCGTTGTTACTTTTTTTTTTTTCCATTCTTGGTGATCGAAACCCTATTTTCATTCATTCTTTGCTCTGGAAAGACAAGTAAACAAGATTGGATTGCAGTAGAACTCATTGTATTGCACCTCTACTAAAAGCATCATGAATTTTTTTGCGGATCTAAATGGTTGAATGTCTTTAAAGCTATGAAAAAAAATAGCATAATTGCCCATGATTTCATGTGTAGAACTGGAATTGGGAAACTCAATAACCGACAGCGTCAAGAAGATTTCATCTTTTTGAATTTTATTGTTGATTGCTGGACGAATTCCCACATTCCCAAATAAACAGAAGCATTTGGATACACAGGCTGACTGATCAGCCACTTTCATTTTGAGATCATCTTCTTTATGTGGGTTCCAACTGGTATGTGCGTTAAAGAAGGTCTTCTTGTGAGCCTCTTTCATTTTGAGATTATGTTCTTCATGGGCAGTGATCCTCCTCCTCCTCGTTCTATCTTTATAAAATTAAAGTTTTGAGTGGTAAACAAAATTAATTGTAGAAAACCCTATACTAGTAATTGTTGTTTTCTTATTGTATGGTTGCCATATGATGTATGGGACATTGCGCAAGGGCTTTGAGTTCCATTTTACTAATTTGTTGGGATGGGACCATGAAAATTACAAGTGTATATCCCTTCTGATGGCAGTACTTGATTGAAATAAGTAATTTAGTGTTTAGTAATGCGTCTCTTATTTTAAGTATGACCTGGGATTGTCCCTGTCTTTTGGTGGAAAAGTATGCTTCTCAACTATCCTAATTGTTCCGGCTATAAAATTCAATCTCAGACACTAAAATTAAACATGAATTGGAAAGTAGAATACTCTTTCTTACCTTAACGAAACACATATGTTCTACTTTGTGATCCCTTTTTCGTGTGCAAACATTTGCCTTCTATGCATGAGGTTGATAATTTATGAGCTGTTGGGCACTTCCTTTTTCTATCATGCGCTTGGTTATTGTATACCTATATGTGCATCTAACGTCACATGGACTCCTAGGTGAAAGTTATTAATTTTTACTTTCCAAATATTAAATTTGTTTTGCTAAGAATTTCATGTGTCTGTGATACTCTTATGATTAAGATTGAAGAGGCAGCTTCTCAGTGCAGATCCAATGAAGCATATTGTGAAGATTATGACATTGTTGATGGTCATGTCTGCTCTTTGGATTGGCCTCTTGCAGACATCAGTGATTCCACACACCTACACTTGGTTGGTGAGTTCTATCCTGTAGATGCTTTTTAATTAATTCATTGGATTTTTTACATTTGTACATGTGTCCATTTTCTGTTGAATAGATATAACTTATGTTGTCCTGTTGCTTGTCTTTTTCTCCAGCTACCCATATACTCTATTGTGTCATTAGGATGCTACGGCCTACTAATGGTTGGAGTTGGTCTGATGCAATTTCCAACTTGTCCTCAAGAGGCACTCCTGTTGCATCAGGTATTTCATATTCTCGTGTTCACCTTAAGCTGCAAAAAATCAATGCTTATTATGGATCTACCATGAAAGATCGTCAATTGGAGTTTTTTGGGCTTGAGAATACGTTGTATTACTATGATGTCTTTGGACGGATAAGGTCGTGAGTGCATTATAAAAGGTTTAATTTATCCGAAGATGACCTCATTTCCAACTCCAAGGATCTTCTAATTTGATGTCTTGTACTAGAATGGTGTACACCATATGCGCTTCAGGGGTAGCTTTAAAAACTATTACAGTTTGGTCCAACGAGAATTGTCACAGGAGTTCTACTAAAATAAGTGATGCTTATCCAATTTCCCAGTGCTTTTCAAGATGGGGTCAAAGATTTGCCATGAATTTTTGATAAATTGCAATGCATTTAGAATACCTTGGGAAATTAGCGCTCTAGACCAATATGTCGCCTCACCATGAGTATTGATAACTAGAGTTGGACACGCACTATGTGGTTGTTCCGCACTCGATCGTATTTGCTGAAATGCAGGTGGTTGTGACCCAATTTTCTGTCAGTTCCTTTTATGAATTAACTTGCCCAGTGGGAGGAGACTTGACAGTAATTTCTCTTAGTTATTCTTCATTTTGCCAACTAACAGACAGCATGACAGATGGAGACAGAAACTTCCTGGTCACTTGTTTCTTACTGATTTATCTGACTAATTCTGATACTGTATTTGCATGATTGTTGAGTATAGTGTTCTTTTACCTCGTGTTTTAACGTAAGAGTTAATTGAGTTCGATAAAAATGACGCTCACTTTCTTCTCGGTTAATTTGACTTAAATTTCTTTTCTTGGTATCCGTATTGACTATCGCGACTTTTTTGTAGGATATTGTCGAGGCCAAGAAATTCCTAGAACTAAGAGGGGTTGATGTGGGTTCTGAGTTCTGATTGATCCGAGGATCAAGGTTACTCATGGTTTGCATGTAGTAAGAGAACAGGAGATATTGCTTTTGGATTTACTCTATTAGCAACGAGGTAGTTCATGGGAGTCGCCCTTGTTGAGGGGAATTCTTTTCTGTAGATGAGAAACCAGGATACATCGTCAAATTAGGCATTGTGGGGACACTTCTCTATGATTTTTTTTTTTTTTTTTGTTTTTTGGGAGTTTTGAACTTTGTGGTACGTAGCAAAGCTCTGTCTATTAGGCAGTGTAGTTTTTGTAAACTCAAAAGACTGTTGGTCGGGCCATTGGTTTTACTTTCAGACAGCTTCTTAGGAATATTTCATACAGGTACTCCGTTTGCAAATGACTCACATTGGTACAAAATGTAACACATTTTATTGTGAGGAATCAGAAATATATGTAGAAGCAATGTATCCTCATTTTCCCGTTCTAATCTTTCTAGTAAACAGATATGGAAATAATTCAATGCCTTGTATGCACTGTGGACAAAGCTGAGCAAGTTGCCCGGTAACTCAACTCAACTCAACTGCTTTGCCAAAACATTTTTAGGGGTCGACTAGGTAATTTAATTGGCTAATGAAACTTGTAACACGAAGGGGGCGGATGAATTGGGAAAAAGAACCTTTGGGTTGGGAAGGGGTGAGAATTATATGCTAGGGGTGTCTATAGTGGGGTTGAATTTGGTCAAAAGTTTGAATCTTGAATAAGTTATAATTGAGATTAGCGGTTAGTTTAATGATCATTATTCTCATTATTAGACGTTAGCTAGAGGGTAGTGAGAAGGTAAGGGTCCATTGCAAATCTTCTAATTCAGGCCTTAGAGCGGCCTGATTGGGTGATGAATGTGCTTCGATGTCTTCCGATTGATGGGACATATAACTAAAAATATACTTTTTTTTCAATTAAACTCTTTTTTTTTCCCCTTTGATCTCAAAGTTGCTACCGACTCTTTGCCAGTAAATTTAAGTGGCAGTGTCTTGTTTAGTTTATTTGGTTGTGGATTAGCTGAGTCATGAATTTATATTCATGTGATTATGATTTTCAGTTATCAAAAAAAGGGACCATAGCTTCCAGTTACTAGAAAAGGAACCTTCGCCCAATTATACATCTTTCAGTTTTCAAAGGGGCAATCTCTCACAAATTCAAGCCTGTGACCCTCATTGTTGGAAGGTCGTAGATTTAAATCTTGTTGTTTCCTCTAGTAGCATGTGACAAAAAAAAAATCAAAAAATCATAATTTATATCTGAAACAGATTTACGATTGATTAAGGCCCAGTTAATAGTCATGATGTTGCTGCAAGGCCCATTTTTAAACTCGGTCGACAGGCCCATATGCCCGTATTAAATAGCGTACAAACAAGTGTTCAAATTCAAACAACACAATATTTTCTTGAAGAGTCGGTCGGAGCAGAGACAGCTCGAGAGGGGAAGAAACTAGGGCAAAACACACAAGATGATTATACCAGTTCGTTGCTTCTCTTGCGGCAAGGTAACTAAATTTGTATAATATATATTTTACGATTCGTTGTTCTCGCCTAAATTGTTGTTTTATTTTCTTAGCTAGGGTTGATTAAAGTTCCGATATCATCGATTTTCTTGTTTTCCTCAGGTTATTGGAAACAAATGGGACATGTACCTCGATCTTCTCCAGGCGGATTATACTGAAGGGTGAGAGAACACTGCCAAGTCTTTCTGTTTTTTTTTTTTTTTACTACATATAGCTTAATGATAGAAGCACCTTCACTAGCAAACAGTTTTGTTAATCGTGAATCTGAAGAATAAACGTGCGTTTTGTATGTGCAGACATGACAAAAGAGATAGATAAAACCCTAGAATCCACTGGGAAGAACAGGACAGATAAAATCCTAAGTTCTGCTAATATATAATATATTAATAGTTGTCTTTGCTTTGTGGCTTACAGCTCTATTTAGCATAAAAGAAGCCTAAAAAATGGAAAATTAAAATAGAAATTCCTAATTAATTTGGGATTCAAATAGCAATAAAGAAACTACTTAAAGTGTCCTGAAATTAAGAAAAAATATGAATTTGAAGGGCTAAAAATATAGTATTTAGCTAAAATTTGGAATATTTCCAGGGTGAAGCAATGGATCTTGAAGATTCAATGTTCCCAATTAACCATGAGAGTTTTGCGCGATTCTGCCTCCTTGACTCTTACATATGTTGACCTACTGTCCCATTAACCATCCATTTTCAACGAATGCTTGACCCAGCATCTGAGCGATTTGCATCAAGAAGTCTTAAGCACATCATATAATTGTGTGTGTGCATGCGTATGTGTTTGTGTTGGACAGAGAAATTGTTTTAGTATGTAGAAGGAACACTGTAATTTTTGTTCCACCTTATTTAATTTGCTGATTCTTTGTGTTTGTTTTTGGGATAAAATCACCTTAAGTGGTGTGCTTCCACAGATCGACTTTTATGAGCTTTATATTGTTGTAACTAGTCATCTTCAACATTGTGGTCCTAAAATGTATGGTGTTCTATCCCAGCTACGAATGCCTTTAAGTGTGGTTAGTGTGGCCTTTGCTGTAAGCAAGCATATTGATTTCTGTGTCTATTCTTTGTCGGTAGATACATATTTATAAATGCTCTCTTCATTTTTTTTAAAAAAACTAAAAGGTTGGAAGAGATGGTCTAGTGGCAGGAAGATCGTAACTGTTTTGACCTACATGTGCTCATATGTTTGAAGCTCTTACCTTCCCTCCCCCATATGTGCAAGTGTTGTATGGAAGACTGTGCCAAATTTATTCAGGCCTCCATCCCATTGAAAGAAAAAAAAGAAGCGAGGACCACAATGTGGTTTAATGTTCTACTGTTAAGTATCTTGGGCTTCAAATTATACTTGATTAGAACTCAAGAATGATATCAATTTTTATTATTTTTGAGATGATATAATAAATGGTTCATTCGGTGGATGGTTTTAAAGAGAAGAACGTTATGTGGTTATTTAACTTGTAACCAACTATGCACTGAGCAGTTTGATAAATATGAGTGGAAGTCTGAAGAGATTCAAAAGTGTCTCCATTTTGCATGCTCAAATGCATGAAGGAAGTATTGTGTTTTCTGTTGCCATTTTTAGGTTTTTTAGTTGTTTATCTTTTGTAGCAGTAGTTGGGCATCTCTTTTATTCTAAGAAGCACGGACACAGATATGGGACACGGATACAACACGACACGGTATGTCGACACAAATTTTTCAAAAAAGTAAGATACGGACACGTTAGAGATACGTTAAATAATATGTATTATATATATATATATATATATATATAGAAAATCATGTGATAAAATAAAAATATTATCATAATAATCTTTTAATTCATCATTTCTCTAATTTTAAAAATTTACATCATGATATCATTGCATAAAAAGTACAATAAGATATATTGATACACATTCAACATTAACATCCATGATTCAATAATCAATGATTTCTACAATTTTTACTTAAAAAAATATTCTATTTTGTAATACTAATTTTCATCAAATTCCAAGAGCTCTAATTTTGTAATCTCATTTTTTCTCACATTACTTTCATATTAAAATACTATTCCATTTGTATATAAGTTCTTATTCGTATCCAAAATTATGTTAAATTCATGCCTTATGTTCAATGTAATGATAATAACTTCTTTTATATTATGATTGTGACTCGTATTTCCTCAAAATTATAAAAAATAACTCTTAATTATAAAATTATTTGAATTTTTTTTAAAAATTGAAAATAAATCTCAGAACGTATCCCAACGTGTCCTAAACGTGTTAGCCGTGTGTCCCCAATGCGTTCAAAACGTGTCCTAAAAAAAATTAACAATAAAAAATCAAACGCTCATTTTAACGTATCTAACACGTGTCTGTGTCCCAGACGTGTCCAACACCGACACTCTGTCCAAAATGAAGTGCCCGTGCTTCCTAGCTTTTGAGAGAGCTTGCCGTGAGATACATGAACAAACACCATCCTACAATGGCATCTAACAAAAAAATGTTGTGGCCCTTTTTTACCTCATAAACTATTAAAAGTACACTTGTAGTTTGAGTGTGTGTTTATTTTGTAAGTCATTCTGGTATCACACAATAAAGTGCATAATTAAACGTAACGTACAATTTCTTGTTATGCAGAGATGCTCTTGATGCATTGGGTTTGGTTCGTTATTGCTGTAGAAGAATGCTGATGACTCATGTTGACCTCATTGAGAAGCTTTTGAACTACAATAGTACTCTCTCTCTCTCGCTCTCTCTCTCTCTCCCCCTTTATTTGGTTGGATCCATTGGAAGGAATCCATGTGTGTTTGACTGAGTAATATCGTGGTAAATGCTACTAAAAGTTTTCCACATCTAAAATATTGAAGAGACTTGACTGCCGAGGATGTGAACAGGTTATTTTCTGTAAAAGTGGTAAAAATTGCAAACTCTATTGTATGGAGCGAGCAGTTAGATAGTTTTTCTGCATTGACATGAAGATGATAAGTTTTGGTCATTCTGGAACACTAGACACACCCAAGACGAGGGTATTGTTGCTGTCCCCCCCCCCTCTCCCTTGCTTTTTTTTTATTTTTTCATCCCCCTCCCAGTATATAGAATTGGAGTTGCTTGCTTGATTGAACTAACATTGTACACTTTTCCAGCTTTGGAGAAATCTGAAGGCAGCTGAGGGGCCTTTTGGAGCTACAAGTTCTCTTTAGGATCCCCATCTAATGGGCTTGTTTGGTCTTGGGATGAAGCATTAATATTGTAAACAACCTATGAGGAATGTGGTTTTTCAGTAGCTGGTTTATAATTGTTGTCTGCCCTTTGAAATATTTGCTGATGTAAAAGATAATAGAGGTTCTAGTTATTGAAAATCAACCTCTGTTGTTTGATATGGTTGATGAGTTGGGTAGAATGTGATTTAATTGATCATGGTGATAATTTATTACAGGGTAAATTGTATTCTGCATCATCACTACGGTTTGATTTGGTGGCACTTGATCTCTCTGTATTTTGAATATCTACACTTGCAATCTTTTATAGTTTAGAACAGTATAATAGGAATTGGGGGTTAATGAATAACTGCATGCATGAAAATTTGCTCCAACTGCTTTCTTAGTAGTTGTCTTTTTTGGGTTGGTCTTTTGCCGCATAATAATTTCTCACTTTTGCATATCGTTGTCATTGCTAGGGAAAATTATTGGTGTTGTATATATTTACGGTTCCTTCAATTGGAATGTAGTGGTGAGTCTCAATCAGTTTTGAAGCCGTTAAGGGTCTTGTGCATGTGAGATGTCTACCTTATCATCCATTTTGTTAGCATTGCAGCTATGGCTGCAGGGAGCTCAAGTCGCCCACAAGGTATGCAGAGTGAGGTGTGTATGAGTCGACCTTGCGTATGTTTAAATTTGGTTTAGTTATGACTGGTTGAGTTCAAGTTTAACTATATATTTCAATTCGCTTCTTATCGAACGAGCTACTTTTTGTTTGGATTTGATTTATTTAAAAAGAAAGTTTAAAATTTTTGTGCGTGTTGGATCTTGTACAATATAAATACGAGAACAGATCTCTCCCTGGTGAATTCGAGTGAGTCAGTCGAGTGGTCAACCCCGCTGCTTGGAACAGCCTGTGAAGTCTGGTGGTAACCTGAAACGGTAATGGGAGACCCTCGTGGATCAACGGAACGATCTAGTAAGGCTGAAGAAAGGTTCCTGAAACAAAGAAAAACAAGTTAGAAGGGAGCCGGAGTGTTTTTTGGCGTATCCCTTCCGACGATCAAGTCAGTTTTTGAGAGAGAGGAAGAAGAAAACACTGAGTATAATTTGTAGCAAAGGTTTCACCTTTTTCTGTCTTGTCTTTTGTGAGGAGTATTTATACCTCAAATACTCATGATTGCTGTCAGTGTGGTCAGTAGGTGATCATTAGATACAGACAACGTGCGCACTGATTCCTACGAGGAATGTCTTCTCTTTTAATTGCTCGAGACCCCGAGCAATCAAGACTGTGTCATCGGCCTGCCGACGGTTCAATGAACTCCTCTCGGTAAGGATGTAATAAATGTCCAACCTTAGAGACATTTATTACCTTTCACTTCCGAGCCTTACCGCATTAAATGCTGTCTCATCAAAGGAATGATATAATTAAATGCTTGCTTTCCCAAGCCGTATGTCAGCAAGGGCATCCGGTCTTTCTGTCTCTGCTGTGACACAATATGTCACGCGTCCATTCCCCATTAGTTGTGTCCCCTGCCCTCTGTGCCTTCTGACACAAATTGCGTAAGGCGAGGTCATGATAGCTAACCTAGCCTAGCCTAGGCTAGTGACCTGTACATCAATAGCCTCTGCTGGAGCAGAGAACGACATCCTGGACGAGGGGTACATCTCGGTACCGAGGAAGAGGTACATCTCGGAGCCGAGAGGGGGAGGCCTAGCGACTGATGTACCATATCAGATCGAGGGTTACGTGTCGGTACATAAAAACGTACTGGATGCCACTTGATCCCTATGATAAGTACCTCGGGGGAGAAGGAACTTGTGAACCAATGGGTATGTGATCTCGGTAACAAGGGTTAGTGACACCGAGGACACGTGTCTTCATCTTGGAGTATTTCAGAAATGTCCCATCAACTGCCCCCCAGCCTTCGATCTTCTGACACCGAGGACACGCGTCGTAAGGAGACGAAGGATTTTACAACAACCCCAACTGCTTCATCATTGCCTCTAGCTGTTTTCCCCTGCTTAGGACGTCGTGCGCATTAAATGCGTCTTTTCGTGCTTCGCGCTTAATGATGGGATAGGTACTATATATAAATGACCTTCCTCTTTCTTTTCTCATTTCATCGTTCTGAACTTTTCTCCACAGAGCCCTCGCCTGAGACTTCGCCGGAAATCCCTTTCCTTCCGTTGTCAACTGTCCAACCATTTCACCGGAGTTTTAAGGCCAGCATACCCATCCTTGCTTCTGAAACATTCTGGAAGGAGTCGCTTCAAGTTTCCCAGAAAAAACTTCTTTTTACATTCTGGTGAGTCCTAGTATCTTTCCTTTTTTCGTCCTTCTGTCTCTTTTGGTTTTTCGATAACTGGAGGTGTCCCCGGTTGCCACTCAGCGACCAATCCTCGGGAAGCTCCTTGGGAATCTTTGAGGGAAAAAACACCCTCCTCTTTGTACCACTTTTTGGAGATGCCTCGTCGTCGCCCTGCCCCTGAGAATCCTCAGGCCAGTTCTTTGGGTTAGGGAAGTATAAAGTAAAGGGTGGCGAGCAAATTAATAGATTTAGGGTTAAGTACAACATCCCCCCGTATGTAGACATAAAGGATTATAACCCGGCTGTGCACCCTCGTACCCTCGGTACTGAGGGTGCAATGCCCTTTTATACCAAAGCCATCATAGAAGGCGGAATTAGATTCCCTTTGCCCCCTCTACTTCTCCAGTTCCTCTCCCATTTCCACCTCTTTCCCGGGCAGTGTTGCCTTAATGTCTTCAGGATAATTATGGGGGTCTTAGAGCTCAATAGGCGTCTCGGGGTAAATGTTGGACTGAACGATATCATTTTTTGCTATTCCCTCTTGAGAGTCATGCCTCAACAACACTTCTACTTCAAAGCCAGGGACCCATCTATGTACCTCGTAACTCACCTTTCCGACTCGGACAAGGGGTACAAGGATGACCTACTTATCTTCAAGGGATCTTGGCAGAGAGGTGTCGGTCCCGAGTATAACGGCTTGTTATACCCTTTGGAATGGAGAACGACAAGTACGTCGGTTCCTTCGGGTCTATTATTTTGTTCTTGAGATTTTCTACGTGTTCATGACTCCTCTTTTTGTTTGTGCAGACATCTCCCCTCGGGAAACAGCTCCTCCACCTCGGTCGTTGGTGAACTTTGCGGACCTAGCCACTGATTGGAGATTTACTGGTGACGACGGGTTCGGCCGGGCTGCCCACATCCTCCTTTATTATACTCCCGGATATAAAAAGTTTTCACAGCTTCCCCAGCCTTTCGAGCCTTCGCGGTGGTCTGAACTCTTTGATCAGGCGGTGGGACAAGAGGGCGAGGAGAATTTGGAGGAAGACCCTGACCGGGCTTCGGAGGCAGAAGTAGAGGGTGAAGCTGAAGAGCTCGGGGTCAAAGAGGACTTGGTTCCTTCGCCCGTCGAGGTGGGGACTTCGGGGAGAGATTCGTGGCCAGACTTCCAAATTTTACAATCTCTAGACGCCGAAGACGCCCTCGAGATAGCTATGTCCAGCACGCCTCGCATTGATCTGGGGTTCCTGAGGCAGAGGCAAGCCCTTGCTGCCGGGAGGGGACGAGGATCGGCCGGTGGGACCCCATCTGTAGGGACCAGCACCACCCCATCCTCAAAGTCGTCAGTCGGGGGCAAGTGCGTGACCGGAATCCTCAAGTAGAGGAGGAGAGAAGGGTCAAACATAGGCACGATGGCCTTGGCAGGGGATCCAGGGCACCCTCCGCTCAGCAGCAAAGTGGGAGAGGCCGTGGGTTACCTTCTGCTCCTCAGCAACAACAGCAACAGTGGCAACTGTAGACTCCTCCTCCCCTTCCGCTGACAGTGGAAGCCGCGGAGTGGAACCCTCGAGCCATTGATCACATGAACCGAGTGATCAGGGTCGATGACTCCATTTTGCAGGACCCCCATGTCGCCAATGCAGTGAGTGAGGCACTGCATTTTGAGGCCGACATGGTGGCTCACAGGGGGCGATCAACGAACGTGTTGTTTTGCTCTATCATCCAGAATTCCCTAGTGGTAAGTTTATCTTTACTTCAACCCTTTTTTTTCTTTTTTAGCCGCTTTTCTTTCGAGCGACATGCCCTTTCCTTTGCAGGCCACCCAACAGATTTCTATAATAGCGGCGCAGTATCATGGGGCTAGGATGGACCTTCAGCGGATTCGAGAGCAAAAGGAAGAAGTCGAGGGAGCCCTTGCCAGTGCTAAGGAGGACGTAGCTGTCAGGGATTCCACTCTCGCGGGGCAGGCTGCTCAAATCGAGCAACTCCTCAAGGATGCCGAGTTGGCGAAGGTCGGCGCTGAAAAGCTAAGTGCTGCCCTTGTCGACCCTGAGAGGAGGATTACAGAGCAGACGCAACGGCTCTCTGCGGCAGAGGAGAGGGCTGTTGGTTCAGAGGAAAGTTGTCTGGCTCTGACCCAGGAGCTGGACAGGATCAGGGCTGAGGCACAGAACAGGAAGTCCGAGGAGCAACTCCGAGAAGAGTTCGCCGATGACGTGTTCCCCGCTCTTGAAGAAAATAACAAGGAGTTCTTCAAGAAGGGGTGGGACGAGGCGCTCCAGTCTGCTGGGATCCCGTCAGACTCCCCGCTCTTCCAGATGCACAAATACGTGCCCTCGGCGGAGATGGAACAGGCCGAAGCCGAGATTGCTGCCGAGGGCGCGATTCCAACGCCGGTGCAAGTTTCGGCGGATCTGCCCGAGGCGGTAATTGTGGATTTGTCTGATGAGGCCCTGCCGGACCAGGCCCCTGACCATAATATTCCTCAGGGTCTCTCTGTTGCCGAAGTACCTCCCACTCTGCCTGCTCCCGAAGCTGCTCAACCTTTCTACGCCGATTCGCCCTCGGCGGATGTTTTGGAGATGCCTAGGGCCAGATGAAAGCTTTTTTTCTTTTCGATTGTACTTTTTTTTTTGTAGCTCTTGGGGACGCAAAGCCCCTCTTTTTGAAATAAACTTTTGAGTACTTATACTTTCTTGC